ACTTTTGATTAGTCACTGAATACTATGAACTTTGTATTGTTAATTTTCAGTATCTTGTTATCATTCTGTAAAAAGTTCTACATTTTATTTTGATAGGCAGTTATTTTGGGTCACTTTTGGATCACCTTAATCCTTTTACTTCTTTTTAAAATTTGTTAGTGCTTCTGTTAGCATTGCCTTTCTTTAGCGGGTAAAGTCAGTAAACTTTGACTTATGAAACAAATGTGGTCTACAACCTAAAATTAAAAACTAAGAAGAATATGTGACAGAGATTGTGTCTGACATAGCTTAAGATATTACCTGTTTTACTCTGTTTAGGAAACATTTTCTGATCTCTGTTTGTTTAACTCTAATTTCAAAGATATTTTCTTTCTTTTTTTTTGCTGCGTGCTCCAGTTTTTCTGTGTGGCAGTTTCATTGTATTGTATTTCATTGTATTTGGTTGGAATTCGTAGATCCCCCAATTTTACACTATTTCTGAGAGATGTTCAGCTTTCTGCTATCCATATTTATTTTTTTACTTAATAATTGTCTTGCTGCCAGCTTTGTGAAATCTTACTATACATGCAGATCTTAGTATGCACGTGTAGTTTAGTATACAGCCGAGGACTCAAAAGGCTCTCCTCTGCAGAATTCTGAGGGTTCTCTTTGGGCAACTACCTCCTCTTTCATACACTGACCAGCACATTTCATCTGCCTTAATCTTCCTGAACTTTGGTCTCTGTCTTCCCATTTTAAGAAGATAAGTGTGCTTTGCTGAGTTGCTCCTTTCTGTGTTGATATTTAGTAAATGCCTTTAGGCAAAAGACTGGAGAGATCATAGGGATTAGCTTTTATTTATTTAAATTTTTTATTTTTTGTTTTTTTGAGACGAGGTCTTGCTCTGTAGCCCAGGCTGGCCTCGAACTCACCGTGGAGCCTCCTGCCTCAGCCTCTTGAGTGCTGGGATTACAGACATGTGCCACCACACCCAGCTTCATAGGAATTAGTTTTATTGTTAACCTTCTTTCGGGCATTCAGTCTGACCATTGCTCCATATCTGAAAACAGTTTTTCTAAATGTATAGTTTTAAAAAAAATTTTGTTTTTGTCCTTTTGGTGGTGTTGGGGATTGAACCCAGGGCCGTATGCATGCTAGTGTTAGACCACTAAACTATATCCTCAGCCTCTCAAATTTTTTTTTGTTTTTTTTTGTTTTTTTTTGAGACACAGTCTGGCTGTGCAGTTCAGGCTGGCCTTGACCTCACTTTGTAGCCCAGGCTGGCCTTGACCTCACTTTGTAGCCCAGGCTGGCCGTGACTTCACTTTGTAGCCCAGTCTGGCCTTGAACTCGCAAGAATTCTCCTGCCTCAGCCTCCTGAGTGCTAGGATTACAGGCGTGCACCACCGTGCCTGTCTTCAAAATACGTTTCTTAAGGTTTTCTGGTTTATGAGGGTAATCCAGTGACTATGTTATAGTTGCAGACATAACTCTGTTTAGAAAACATTAATAAAATGCTTTTAGATTTCTGGTATAGTATAATATCAATAGTTATGATTCTGTTGAATCTTTTGCTGTAAATTTTTGTTATTGTAATATTTATTGGAGGTATTACCAGTATGGTGTATGAAGAAATGTAACTAAGATTCAGTTTTGTATTGCATCTTTAATTCTGTGCCCAAAGGTTTGTACAACTTACTGGGGACAAAAAAATAACACATGAACCAAAGTCCAGGTCCTCAGCTTAGCTTGGTTGGATAGCAGCATGCATGTTGGATACAGGGATCATTGAAAACTATTTTAGAAGCTGCTTACAAAAACTTTGCTATATTAATTATATAAATGAAGTTGGATCTAAAGATTAATGTAAATATATTGCATAATAATCTGCTACATGTTGTACTAGATGCTTCCCATAGAATATTTTATTTAAGCATTTGCTAATATTCTCTAGAAGAAGTACTATGCATTATTCCTATTTTAAAGATACGGAAGTTTGCATTCTCAGTGAAGGTACCTGGCCATGATATAGCAGAATTGAGACTTTAGTCTAGGCACTGCTGATTCTAGTATCCATACTTTTTAATGTTATATCTTGTCAACATTAAAATAAGATTGACTTTTATTGGTAACTCAATGTGCTAAGCATTATGGCAAACTTTACATATATATATTAATTTTATATTAACTTCGTAGCAACTCTGTTAAAGCTTCTGATAATACTGATTCTGCACTATAGCTTCCAGATTTAGAGCTGTACTTTTAAATATTACATATATTTATTGTTCCAGAGACATTAAGCAAAAATAACCCAGTCTTTCTAAATGCCAAAAGGAATGACTCATTTAAATATTTTAGTACCTTTAAAAATGGACGTTACTAAATGAATTTACTTGACTAATTTTAATCTATTTACTATTCTGTGGAATAAGGGTGTTGTGTAAATTTCAAGCAGGAATAAGTTCTTAAGTATCTGAAAAAAAAACATGGAGACAAAACATCAATAAGCACTGCTAGATAAATTTTGGTCAGATATTAGTGCAAGATAATACATACATATATGTAATTAAAATATTTTATTTTTACCAGTAGATTTGAAACATTTTCACTAATAGTTACACAAATAAGTTGAGTAGTTTTCATATCTCATACTGTTTTTAGTTACACCACTGTGTTTGGAAAGTGATCTTCTAGAGAAGACAAAATGAAAAGATCATTTTCTCATGGCTAAAAGGCAGATTATAACACTGCTGATCTTACGACTAGTTAACTGGTCTAAACTGTATTGTAAGATGTATGTTGACAATAATTTCCTAATGTGATAAATGATTATATTTCTGAACCATTTTCCTTAGATAGTGGTCTTTCACTTTCTGCTTTCACATGTGCTGTCTTACATGGGGTGTATAAGTGCAGTTGAAGCTGATGTGCTCAGATTCCATGACATATGTCATATGTGACATACTTAGTTGTTTCTTTATTCAAAAGTACTTATTGCCCTCTATGTGCCAGTTCCTGTTTTAAGTGTTTAAGCTGTGTCAGTGAAAGAAATGAACAAATTATGGCATTTGTATTTTAGCAGACACGGTTCTATTAAACAGTAAGCATGGTAAGTAAGCAAGCAGGTATTCACTATGGTTAATAGGGAAAAATTCTGCACTGGCTTTTTAAAACCATATTAAGAGAAACTACACAGAAAATGACTCATTTATCAACTTGGCTTCATTTTGTTGGTTCTTTTTCTAAATATTGGCTAAGAACAGTAAAATCCTGGGAAACATTTTTTTTTTCCCAAAACAGAGTTAAAATGATGCTATTGAGAAAATTCCCACATTTACCTCCTCCAAAACTGTCTTACTTTTTACAGCTCATTTCAGTTTTGCTATATGATGTAGTGACTGAATATCTTAAATGTTTTTGATGGTGTTTTATTAAAATCTGACATATTTTGTATAACAAACTTTGTTTCTGTAAACGTTTGTTAATGTTCAAGGTATATCTTTTCCTAGCTTTAAATACTGTGTTTGTGAGACTTTCTGTTATAATTCCAATTAAAATGTTTTAGCACATTTTATTTTTAAGTTATTCTGTTTTAGAAAGCAATCTTTTTGTTTATCATAGGTGAATTTTTAATACCATATATCTTAATAGCTTCAAATTAAGATATATTACAGTGTCAGCAGTGTAGTGTAATAGCAGTGTTCAGTGTTCATATGTTGTCAGAAAAAAGTATTCATTCAAATATTACCACTTGTTGTTGACTTACTAAATTAAATCCACCTTGTAGCACATCATAGTAGATTCATTTTTAATTTTTTTTAATCATCTGACTATATATGTTATTTTTACATAAGATGAAAAGTGGACCTCACATGATGAGGTCTTTTACCGGAAATGTTAAATAGACTTTAATTATTCTTCTGTTTTATTAAATAGATGAGGACACCTAAGATTAGAGAAACAGCATTTTGAGGAAGAGTTTTGAAGAAAGGACAGGGTGAACCATGAAGTCAACAAAGAGAGAATTATTGATAGACTAAAAATCGGGTTTTTTTTTTTTTTTTTTGGTTTTTCTCCGGTACCAGGAACCGAACTCACGACCTTGCGCTTGCCAGGCAAATGCTTTTGCTGCTGAGCTAAATCCCCAGCCCCTTAAAAATCGTTATTATGGCAGTAGACATTAAAGTTTCATTTGGATTATTGCTTTTTTATTTGGTTTTCAAATGGTTCTCACTGAGTACAATTTTTTTTATTTTGTATTTTAGCCATTGTAAACCAGTAACATCAAGGTAAATAGGATAAATGGAAAAGAAGTAAGAGTGTTTTTAGGACACTCACTTGAAGAGATTGTGTTCTCTGTGAATAATCATTTTAAAACAATTGAAATTGAGGTTCCGAAGTACAAAAATAATAGCCTTGTGTTCTGATTTTTGAACCCTTTTCTCCAGCTTTTCTGTTTATTGTGGTATAACTGTTTAGTATGTGGTCATGTGCTCCTCAAATTCAGCCTTGTATAAAGGAGCTATCTCTTCTCTCTCACTTTCTCTCCTTCCTTCCCTCCCCTGCCCAGGCAGCTGGGCAATAAGATGTAGGGGGATAGGGTTGAGAATTTATAGGAATGAATTCATTAATACAGAGAACATTATTTCCTTTGATATAATGAATACATGAGCCTGAACTATGTAGTTGAATCCATTTTGTTTTTGGTTGATTACTCAGAGATACAATATTTCAACCTTCATATGAGAGCTCTTGCACAATAAGGTAAGAAGGAAAAGTTGTGATGGCCCTTAGATGACTTTCAGGCTTAGAGCTGACTAATCTGTTAACTGGTGGAGCCGTGAAGGTATGTGGCATGCAGTTTTAAAACTTTTTACTTTTTCCTTGTTAGAGTAAGGCAGATAGGTTGTCCTGTAGCCTCTTGGTCAGTAAACACCAATGTGTTTCCTTTAACTACATTAATCTCAGTATATGCTATTTTACATATTTTAAATAATTTACATTTCTTATTCTTTTTGCAGCACATAGAGTCCATGAGGCACAGAACAGTAGAGCCTCTTGTTCAGTCACCAGAAGGGTCTCTTTGAAAGAATCGTCACAGGACCACCAGAGAGACGAACTCTTCTGAAGCATCATGTGTTGAAACAACTGAAACTTTTCACCTGTGGAGTAACTAGACACAGTTACTATGTTTTCAACCCTCTGAGCTCCAGGAAGCTGGGAGAGCGAGCTGAACATCTGAAGATGCGGCCATGGACTGGCTCCTGGCGTTGGATTATGCTCATTCTTTTTGCGTGGGGGACCTTGCTATTTTATATAGGTGGACACTTGGTTCGAGATAATGACCACCCTGATCACTCTAGTCGAGAACTATCTAAGATTCTGGCAAAGCTTGAACGTTTAAAGCAGCAGAATGAAGACTTGAGGCGAATGGCTGAATCTCTCCGGTAGGTTCTGAAATACTAAGAAAATGATGAAGTATTATACTTGTTTTTAGGTATAAGGCTTCATTTAGCTGTTGCAAAATGATTTGTATAAGCTGATGTCTTTGCAAAAATTTAAATATCTTTAGTAGTTTTAAAACCAATTATACCTCTATATATTCATAATGGCAAATCTTACTTTGCATATGAATCTTTTTGTGTATGTGTGGTTTTCATTTTTTTCCATCAGATTTTATTGGTACATTTTAGACATACATAATGATCATGTTCATCATAGAGAATTTGTACCTGAGTATAACTTTTTTCCCCCCCTCCCCTCCCCTCCAGCTCCCCCTCCCCTCCCCATTTACAAAATCTTTGTTTCCATGTTTTTTTTTTCATTTTTTAAAAACTTTTCCCTTTTTTCCTTTCCCTCTTCCCTCTTTTTTGTTCCCCTCCCTATTTGAACATTTTCTTCCTATTTCACAATACCTGTTGTACATTTTGGTCCTTATTTACACTTGTGGTTTCTCACCCCAGAGAAACAGTGAAGTATTTACACATGTGTGTCTGATTTGTTTCACTTAAGAGTATAGTCTCAAGGTACATCCATTGTTCTAGAAATATCTTGCGTGTATCCTTCTTTATGGCAAAATAGTACTCCATCCATTGTGTGTGTGTGTGCGTGTGTGTGTATATATATATATATATATGTAAAACCCACACATCTTCTTTATCCATTCACTAGAAACTGTACCATTTAATTTATGTACCTACATTTCCTTTATAATTGTATTTAGGATTGTGACAATTTGATGTATTAGACTCAAACTTTGTATGATTTAAATTAGACTCATTAAAATTTTTTTACCATATGAACTATAACAAAACCATAATTTTTAGTAAGCTAAAATTTTTAGTCTAATTATAACTTCTTTGAATGAAGAAACAAATTTATTATTAAATGAAACAGCTAGATCTGGAAAGGAGAGTTATTATCCTTGCTACTTCTAGCCTATAAAAATGGGACACATAACTGTTTGAATGCATAAATTAGACCAACGTCTTCTATTTTCATTGGAAAAGTGAACATAGTATTATAAAAGGTAATATATAACTGTTTTCAAAGTTACTGAGTTTAAAAGTTATCCACATTGAATTCCTAGACATGTGAGGATGATCATGTATTTTGTGCTTGCTATCCCTTAGAATAGGTAGGTGTAGAGGCTAGAAATAAAGATTTAAGAGTCTTTATATTAGAAGTAGTAATTGGTCCTAAAGGGAAGTGGTGGTATGGCAAAAGAGTTAAAAGATTTATTCCTTTTGAGAAGTAATTGCTAAGTGGAAAATGGGAATATCCTGTTGTATAGAGAATCTTAGGCATAGCTGGGGAAGAATAATGGAAGAGAGGCATGTTATGGAAACTGAGGAGCCTTTTGTGAAGGAAGAAGATATTTGGCAGTGTTTTATGTTCTTGAGCTACAGAGAGGAAGGATGCCCGTAGCACTTCCATTCTCCCATTTCCCTACCGCGTTGCCGTTTACTCTTCCTTTAGAACTCAGATCCTTCTCTTTGTCTAGTTCCATAACTTTTAGTTCACCCTTACGTTTTGTTTTCTTATGTCCTTTGGAAATGCTAGGTGTTTAAGTTTTACACAAATAAATGAAACATCATCTATGTCATTCGTTCTATTCAGCAAGGTTCTAAGTGGTTAGCAATTAGAAGTAGATAGATAACTTCTTGAATTTGAGTATCATATTACTGAGGGGTAATCAGAGAGGATCATGGAAAAAGCAGTCTTTCAACTGAGCCTTATATTCATGCTTTATGAGAAGCAAAGATTGATAATTTAGGAGTTAACACCAATAGCTACCATGTATTTACAGTTTATCATATACCAGGTACTGTGCCAAGGACTTTGCATAGATTGTATCCCATAATATCTTTATAAGCTGCTTAAACCCTTTCCATAATGATTTTACAGATGAAGAGTTGCAAGAATGTTTAAGTAATTTAATTTGCCCATGGTCACACTTCTCACAAGTAGTAGACTTTTTGAATTCCAGTTGTTGTGACCCCAAAGCCTGAACACTGATGAATTGTATTGCCACTAAACAGAAAACAGAGAGGCCAGTGATTCAAAAATCTCACATAAAAGTCTCAGATAGGAGACCACCACAATCCAGCTGCTACTTGTTAATTTTGCCATTTGTTTTGTAGTAAAATTTTGTTCTGCATTATGGAGATTTTGCTCCTGAAAGAAGATTTTGCCATTTAACAAATTAGGCTCATAAAATAATACTAATTGCTAACTTTCCATTATATCTTTAATATACTTCCATTTCCTTATTTCTGAAGACAAATACCTTTTTAATATGTGTTGGTTGTTCTATAAATTAATTGTTTAAGCTTTTAAGTCACTTTCTTCATAATTTTATATATTGAAATAAAATACCCAACAGTTATATTTAAATGTAGAGACAATTTCTAAGAGGTGAAGCATAACTCATGCTGTGATATCATATAAACACAACCTAGCTAGAAAACTAAACAAAAGAGCCCAGTTTTACTTATAGACTCTTTGGTTGTTGTCAGTAAAGTGGTCAGTTATAGTAGTCAGTGGAGTAGATATTTTTGCTCATTAGGGTAGAAAACCTCCTTAAGCCCTTTAAAGACTTTACTGGTGGGGCCATTTGTATTTCATCCAAGGGGATTTCATTTTAGAGCCAAGGCATGAATGGAATATCAGTGAAGGTGGTACTAGCATTGGAATTTTTCCCCCATATTATAATGTGGCTAATATTGTATACTCAAAAATTTTTTAAAAGTCTTTTGAGACAGGGTCTTGCTCTGTAGCTCACACTGACCTCGAATAGCCTTTTGGGTGCTGGGATTACAGGCATGTGCCACCCTCCCAGCTCTTGTATTCAATTTCATGTCTTTTTCTGATAAAAAGTGTATTCATACACCAATGTAGAGAATTCATTCAAATGGTTCTTATACTATTAGGTCTTTTCATTGAGATAAGACTAACAGACTGTAGTTGGAAAGTAACCTAGCAGAGTAAAACTATAGGTTTTTAGATATAGGACCATTATTTTAAAAATAGTTACTTAAGCTTCCAGCTAGAACTTGTCGTTTTTTTCTTTTTTAATGGCACGGCAAATTTAGGAAAATAATTTAAAAGTATTGCTTTGAGGGTGGCAAATGAACAAGCACAGTATGTGGGAAGTGCTTGTGTGTGTGTGTGTGTGTGTGTGTGTGTGTGTGCGTGTGTGTAATGTAATATGTATGTGTAGGTATGTGCTTGTCTGATTTATTGATAAGTAGATGTCCGTACAGTAAAGTTCACTGCTTTTATTGTATGGCCAGTGAGTTTTGGCAAATATTCATAGTCATGTAACTGTCACCACAGTCAGGTATAGAAGAATTGTACCTGTACCCAGAATTGTGTTGTATCCCTTTGTAGTTAAATTCTGTCCCCTCCTGATCTTGGTGTCTACCAGTCTGTTTGCTGCTTGTAATTTTTCCTGTTTGAGAATACAAATCATACAGCCTTTTGAGTATGGCATTTTTCATTTAGCATAATATATTTGCTATACATCAATGATATTGTGTGTACTGATGGTCCATTTTTTATTGCTGAGTAGTATTTTTGTTTTTTTTAACATTAAATAGTATTCCATTGTTTACGTGGGTCGCAGTTCTGAGGTCTTTAAAAATCCCTTCATCAACTGAAGGATAATGAGTTGTTTCCATTTTCTAGCATTTATGAACAAACCACTATTAATCTGGCATGGGATAGTCGGGGCATATGTTAAGTGGTTTTTTTTTTGTTTTATTTTGTTTTTGGTACCGGAAATTGAACTCAGGACCTTGGGCTTGCTAGGCAGTGCTGTTATATACTGAGTTATATCCCCGGCAGTGCTGTTATATACTGAGTTATATCCCCGGCCTTAAGTGCGTATTTAACTTCATAAGAAGCTCAAATGTATTCCAGAGCACCCATACCATTTTGAAATTCCTACTAGCAAGGCCATACTTGCTAGTATTTTTTTATTGTCAGTTATTTTTATGTTAGCTTTAAAAGGTAAGTATAGACTATTATTTCATTCAGGTTTTAGTTTGTGTTTTTATAATAATATTGAACATTTTTGTATGTTTACTTACTATTTATATGTTTGTTGATGAAGTGTTTACTCAAATCTGTTGCCTATTTTTAAAAATTGGGTTGTTTACATATAATCCAATTATACATATACATATATATGCATGTAATATATTGTAAAGCAATACAGTGTAATACATAGTGGCTTACAACAGCAACCATTTCTTTGCTCTTATTTTTTCAGTTTGGATCAACCTCAGCTAGGCATTTTTTTCTAGTTACATATAGGGTTCTCATGTGGCTACAGTCCTCTGGTGGCTCTGCTATTCCTAGGCGTCCAAGATCGCTTCTCTCGCCTGTGTGGTGATTAGTTAGAGCCATCCCCTTATTCCCCTCAATGTGTCCTCTCTAGGAGGACAGACTGGGATTCTTACATAGTAATGATCCAAGGAGGCCAGAGCAGGAATTGCAAGGCCTCTTAATGCTGAGCACTAGAAGCAGAACAGTACCAGTTGTGTCATCTTGCGTTGCTCATTTCAAGTAGAAAGGTCAACCCATATTCTAAGATGGAGGAAACAGACTCCCTTTCTTGGTTGGAGGTACTGCAAAGAATTTATAGTTGCGGGAAACCTACTGTTCTCACCTGCTCAAGTAAAGCTGAATAGACTGGGTTAGTGGAAATAATGGTAGTTTCAAATAGACAGAGTTAAGACCTGAATAAGTTATGTTTTCTTGTTTTGTTTTGCTTTTGGCACTGGGAATTGAACCCAGGACCTTGTGCTTGCCAGGCAGGCGCTTGTGCCACTAAGCTGTATCCCTGACCCTAAGACCTGAATAATAAACAATAGGGAATGGTAGTTGGTGTTCATTAGAGGAATGACATTTGACTGAGTTTAAGAGGTTACGAAGAATCTTT